GATTATTTTTTCAACAAAAACTACTTATAATGGAGTGAATGCTTGATTATAAAGCAAAAACACAACAAAATCACTATGATTGATTAACTTTTAATTATAACAAAATAAAATGTAAGTAACATTTGGCGCTAATGAAACAGGGAAAAGAACAATTCAAAAAACGTAAATATCCTAAGATTTCCGAGTATTATGAAGTTTTCCGAATGCATGTCAAAATACCTGTTTTCGATCAGCGTATCGCAATACGTATCGTTTTTATGTCTGAACCGGTAAATACCGGTAAACCGGTTATATTACGCAGCCCTAGTTGTTTGAGATTGACTCAAGTTTAAATCCATATAATGTGAATGACAGTAAACAATTCTCATCATTTAGTTGTAGTCACTATAAGCTTGATAACGGTGTAAGAATCTACATCGAAACGTCGCTCAATGCAATAAACAACAATATATCATCCATATAGTTGTATGTTTCATTTTGACTCACTAACTTCTAGAATGCCGATCAAACAATTTGCTAATTTTTGAGCTAAGACTAAAACATTTATTGTTTTTCTGACAGTTTCAACTGGCTTGTTCTGCCTTGAGATTCCTTTTTTCCCTGAGACACCAAATGGTATATCTTAGATCCAGATCTGGGAATGTAAACTTTGTAGAAAACCCATCTAAACTAATACGACGTACAGTACTTTCAGATGAAAAGTTTTCAGCTTCCGGCATAAATTTGTCAAAACTGGTTGTGATGTCATATATTCAGTTAAACAAATAACTAATTTGCAATTGAACGTACAAGCATTATTCTTATTCCTTTGACGTTTTAATAAAGTTAGCATCTGTTTACAAAGCAACAAGTGTGATTATCCACACCATTCTACACAATCGTTTGTATCTAACCCATCTAACCCTAGACCATAAGAATTCAAAGTTAACGAATGACACATTTCCCATTACCTGCAGTGATATGATCCCTATTACCAGTATCCATTACTACTTTCAACATCTATATCACAGGTACAAGTGGCTAGATTGAATTGAACCCAAGTAGCCCGACATCGCTGCTCGACGTGATAGTCTAGTTGTTTTACTGTCCTTTAACGACAGGTGTTATAATATAAACATATCGTATATAGATGTCCAATTTGTTCTCGTCATCATATGGCTGAAAAATTGCCGATGTGACGTTAAATATAAACTCACTTACTCAGTGGTAGCGTGATGTGACTAAGTAACAAAAGAAATATGTGATGGGCCAGCTGACTCATATCGATCCCGATGATGCCCGTGTAATCAATATATATTGAATGAACGTGTCAAGTGCCTTATAATTTTCTACGGATTATCAGATGTAAACAAAAAAACATTGGACCTTTTGGTATCTTATTTAACATGCATTTTGTACAATAGTGAAATGGGCATTCCAAGATGACATTCGCAAAATACATGCATCTGTTTATTTTGTAAACGCCCCCAGTTATTGATCAAAACGACGTACCCATGGGCCTTAGTATGGTGATCTACCTTCAGTTGTTGGCGATCTATAGCCCATTTTTATATTGTATTGTCTTCTTTAATTGGAATATTTTAACTTTGCGCTAGTTTTATATTTATAACTGTGATTCTTTAGTCTTTTTACTATCCATCGTCGACAGGTTTTAATCTTCAAAATGTTTCTACTTTTTATTGTATGGCTTGTTTTCGTCACGATATGGCTGCAATATTGCCGATGTGACGTTTAATATTAACTCACTCACTCACTCACTCAAAACGACGTATGCCTCACAGAGAGACCTATTACTTTCCTTGCGGTTTTATCCAAGCGAAGCTAACGTTGCTCTAGATCTCCGGACACCATCGGTTTGTTCTTGATATGTTTAATACTCCAGTTTTATGTATGGAAGCTTCAGTATTACTGTGTGTACATGAAATATTAGTGTATTGTTTACGTTAATTTTCAATTAAATTTGACCAGTGAAGCCCCGTAAATTGGTTTTCAGTAACCCATGCTTTTGGTAAGATGTTGTTATCGGACACTTAGGCTGTCTGATACAAGAGTAATTACCTTGCAATTTGCATACTCATTAAGGCTCATTTGAAGTTGAATTTCTCATCTAATTCTGCCACGCTACAGACGTGCTGTTTGAGATCATTTAAGGTGTTTCTCTTTAAAACTAGATACAGAAATGGACACATACCACTGTAGAAACAAATGATAAGAGCATGCACAGTCATTTACAATGTCCATTTTATGATCCGTATAGCTGAATTACCAAATGCAGTAGGTTGGTATTTGTCAGTAATACTCAAGATATAAAAATGATTTTTTACAACAAATGAATGTCGTTTTAGGACAACCATGTTGTAAAATGTTCTTTAGTCGTAAATATCTCAAAGACTTCTAAGGATCACATAAACACGTTTAATACAACCCAAATAATTCATCGGAATAAACTTCCGTAAGTGTCGCATCGACGAAATAAGGTACTGCCTTAAATATAACACATTGTTTTAATCTGTATTAAAATACAGATTAAATGAAATTTTATGCGTGACATTATAGTAAACAACTCTTTCACTCATTCATTGTCTGAATGAACATCTATAATTAATTCCAAAGACTGGTATACTCGTAGCCATGTGTATGTCGAAATTCGCATTATTGTCGTATCGTGTCTATAAAGGTCAATTATGCCCACGCGACGCTACATCTGAACTGAGCTCACTAATTATAATTACATGCAAGATACTAATTCTGAATGATCTGTGCAACTCTTCTTGACAACGGAATAAGAATCTATACCGAAACTTCGCATCATATATAATATAGAAGTTGTTATCCATAAAGTATCATACTTTCTTATTACTAACCAACTTCTAAAATGCCAGTCTAACAAAACAAGTCCCGAAACTTTCAAAGCAAATTTAAAACTTACCAGGATTTTAAGCGTAGAATGTTTGTGATTTTTAATAATGGCTAACTTGGACTACAATCGCCAGCCGCCGAAGGGATGATGTAAATCCAGCTAGTGTCCATGCAGGTAGCAAAAGTAATGTAAGTCCCCCTCCCCTGGTCGCTAGTATAGTGATCTACCTTCAGTTGTTGGCGATCTATAGCCCGTGTTGTCTATTGTATTGCCTTCTTAATTAAAATGTTTTAGTTTTATATGCTAGTTTTTTATTCATATCTGTGATACTCTAGTATTTTTACTGTCCATCGTCGACAGATTTTACTCTTCAGACTGTTTTCATCTTCATACTGTCTTCATCTTCAGGCTGTTTCCATCTTCATTGTATAAATTGTTTTCGTCACGATATGGCTGAGATATTGCCGATGTGAAGTTAAATATTAACTCACTCACTAACTAAAAACAAATCTGCCACTTCTCTTAAACTCTGTTGTTTATATACTGAGGGGGGGGGGGGGGGATAAGGGATCAAATGAAAGCACAATTGTTCCCTTATTTTTTCCCAGATTTCTTCATAAGCTATAAGTTACAAAGCTTGTGAAGAAACATTGGAAAAAAATAAAGGAACACTTGTCCTTTCGTGTGATCCCTTAATTTTTTTCCCTCAGTATATTTATGATTCATCCGTATAAGAAAACCATACTATTAGATATTTAGACCGGGCCTAAAGATAAAAAAGAAGACGTTTTACCCTCAGCCTACCTAGTGTTGGGTTCAACGCACCAGCGTTAACACAACAAGCACCACCGCTTAGTGCTGACAAGGTGATGCTTGTATATCTACTTATGTAAAGGAAACTGGAATACCGCCATCTACTCGACTTGATATGACCTCTTCCTGCCGAGAACGGTAGAAAGACCACTATCGCGTTGTTTAAAGTAAAGTAAAAAGGTCAGACTGTATTGGGAAACGTCACTAGTGAAATGATGTTTGTGAGAATATGACGGATATATTTTGAATGAGAGCAACCGATATGTCCTGGATAGTTTAATTTTCTGGACATGATGTGTTTCAAACTTTGAAGACTATTGGAAATATTTGTAAAACCAACATGAAGCAGCCAGCATCACACATCATATGGGCTTTTATTTCATGTGAATAACATTGTCATTGCACAGCCTCTGATACAGCGTGACCTCTGTAAGTGCCGGTCAATATATGGGTTGAGTAAACATTGACGAGGTCTCGAGATATATCAATGCCACACTTCGTTTCAGAATCGACCGTTTGTGTTGTTCTCTCATTATTATCATTGTGCGTGGTTTATTTGAATTTATATATTGCAGCTGTTGGCGCATTTGTCGCTTTTTATTTCTAACGTGTTGATTGAAGGATTCACAGGCTACATGATCAATAAGCTGCTGAGTGATGTGGTGATTGGGTGTGTGCACATGGTCTAGCAATATCCCAGCTGTACCACAGCGAGGTACAACCACAAGACGCAATCACCTAAGGTCATGAACATCCTTTGGTGCTCTTAACGACTGGCAACAGAAGCTAAGGCGAGTTTCATAGGGGATTACATTTAAAGACTGGCATGCAAACAGAAGAACTTACGTCTTATGCGGCTTCTCATTTGATATAACAAGTTACCTAACCCGAACACCTGGTGTCATCACTGATTTTCACTTTTCCATTCATAATACTTACCACAGCCATTTTGCCTTTTACACCACATGGAATCTGTTTCTGAGAATTCTTTACTCTGACGTTCTTACGTTCTTTACTCTGACGTCATTATCCATATACTGTAGTACATATCAGCACCGTTTACCTTGGCGTCGCCTTTCCCGGAGATGTGTGGACTGTGAAACATCTGAAGAATGATGATAATTGTATGGATATACAACTTCTTTATTCTGTGAAAGGCGACGTTTCGACATAGATTCTAATGTCGTGATGTTTGCTCATCAAAGAAGTAATGAAACATCTGATTAAACGTTCATTTTTATTTCTTATAAATTTACGGCGTCCGGGTTAATGACATTTCAGTGGTTTACACTTATGTTTCAGCTCTCTCGGTTCCTGTATTTCAACCATGTCTAAGCGATTCCTGTACATGCGTGTAGTGGCATTCACAACGGTGGTGTTGGTGTGTACAAGGACATACACGGAGATGAACCATGTAGGACAGAACACACGTTTCCAACTGACATTAAACCTTGGAAGACTGTTCGAGGAAGAAGTTTATGTGCCACAGTTTCCCTGCATCGGAGCCATACATGGTGAAGACGAGGATCTCTTTTGCTTGGTAAGATTTCGATTCCTCATACCAGTTAAACTTCAAAACAAATGTAGACTACATAACGGCTGATTGAAACAAATGACAGGCAATGACATCGTAACTTTTGTGTTTCAGTATTGTTTTAGGATAAAGTCTGTGTGTAGAGACTGGTTCAATAGATTAGTAAAACACCATCGGGATACCCAGTTCGTTTGTATATATGTGGGGCTGTAATAATGCATCGAACTATCGATGGATTGCAATTGTTGAGCAATTAATCGATGGTGGAAACAAACAACTATCGTTGCATCGATACTATGTGTAACTATCGATAGCTTAGTCATTGATGGTTATTATTATCATTAAATATATATGCTGTTTTGTATTTGTTTTAATTGTTTGACGTGCAGCTTCATTGTGTTTATGTTTTAACTGTTTACTTGATCTGGGTTTCAAGATTCCTGTCAGTCATTAAAAGAGACTGAAACTGCTTCAACTTGTTTTTAGTTCATATAAACTTATTATAATAACATTCATTTGGGAAATGACTTCAAATGAGACAATTCAAGGAGAAAACAAACTATTGCAGTAGTATTGCAATAGTTGGTCGCAATAGACTGTCGCTATCGTAATAGTTGTTTCCTCATCAGTAGTCACACCTGTTACACATAGCTGTATATATTTTAGTTAAACGTAACGTCCATAGATAGATAGATAGATAGATAGATAGATAGATAGATAGATAGATAGATAGATAGATAGATAGATAGATAGATAGATAGGTAAGAAAGATATTATTCGTATCCTGTATGAAACAGAAATATACATAGTAATGTACTTAGTTCAAATAATGCTTAAGACTTAAATAATTGTGTTTGTGTATACAGTTTTTAAGCGTGCATGTTCATACGACTGGTACATTTTACAACTTTCAAATCAATTATGTTTCTTTAAATCAGTCAGATTTGTATAAGTGGATTTAATAACATACAATGTTGAAAATGTGCCTGTGTGGAAACTTCAGAAAAATGACATGACATTAGAAATTGTAATTCTTCTTCAATACTTCTGTAATAAAATTGTTTAAGGCATTGTGGACAAATTCTGTCCAGAAGATGGGTTGGGGGCTTGTTCAAACGTCCAGTGTCTATGACAAGGGGTACAAATCCACATCTAAACAAGGCTAAAGGTCAAGGGTGGTCCTCATATTTTACTTTTAAAACATACCATTCAGGCACAGTTTGCATCTTATGTTGCCTTTTACATTATTTCGATCATACCACAATTCTCCCGTCCATTTTTATTATCATCATCAGTAACAATCTCTCTATCTTTTTCAATTTATTTATTTCATTTTGGGAAGAGTTTAAAATGTCAGTAAGGTTATTATTAAGCTCACTTTACAGTTCCATTTCTGATGTATCCAGAGCTCATTTCTGAAGTCGCATAAGTGTAAACCAAATGTCTCGTACAACGTATTCACACTGATGGTGATAAGCCTCATACGTTAAACCTGTCTGCAAGCCTTGTTTTCGATACGGTCCTTTCCTTTCCCCTTGACAAGTTGGCATGTCGTTAAGAACGTGATATCTTTACCATATTCCATTTGGGTTATCTTAGAGAACATTGTAGTAAAGTATGTTGTCCTTAACTTTTGTGTGTACACCTGAGAAAATACTTCACTTTGGTTGAAGAAGGGATCGTCATCTCCGGTAACGAACGCTAATTTAATAATATTGCATAAATATGGATTCTTGTTTCGTTAGCCGAACCGCCGTGATATTGCTGGAATATTGCTAAAATCAGAGTAAAAACTCATTCATTCACTCTTCAGCCGAAAAGAAATTTCGATTTATAGTGTACGTTTACTGTAAATTCCACAGATAAAAGATATGTCTGGCTGATTTAGATATAGATTTATTTAGTTTCAGAGATTCTGTTATTCCTTTGGTGTGCCAGTTACTGCAGAATCATCATCTGTTTGAAGTACGGGGCTGGTTGCCTAGCCAAGTAGGGCGTGCTTGTGAGTTCCGACAGATTTAGATGCTTCTCATGGATACAATATGAGAAACCCATTTTCAGTGAGCTTTGCTTGATTTACTGCTTTAATATTGCTAACAGCGTCATAAGACAACATTCGCTCACCTAATTCATAGACCTATAAAACAAAACATTTTTCTTAATGATTTCTTAACACTTTGCATCTTGCTGTATTGCATGTTCTGTGTGGAGATATTCAATGCACGTGCAACGGCGCGCAAAACGTGAAATGTCATACCACAACATTGTTGAAATCATGTTTAACTGATGATATGTCACACTCTCTCCTTTCAATTTGGACTCAATATTGTCATGTCATGCAGTAAATTGCCAGAGGCTACAAAGTGGTAAATTATTGGCCTGAGGAATGCCGGAATGTCCATCAGACAAATTGGACATCAAGTTGGGCGCAATCCGCCCATCATTTCAAGACCCATTAACAAACACAGGGGGACCAATGACGTTAAAGATCTTCCAAGGTCCGGAAGATCCCGTAAGGCAACAATAATAGAGGATAGAGCAGTTTTGAGACTTGTTTGGCACCGTTCATGGGACTCAAGCACATCGTTAAGGCAACGGTGGTTATCAGAGAGAGCCATTTCCTGCAGGACCGTCAGAAATCAGGCAGCAGCATACAGGGTCAGAAGACCCATCAAGCGTATAAACTGTCACCAGCTCACAAAGCAGCACAATGTGCGTGGTGTAATCAGCGTGTTTACTGGAAAATGACATCATGGTGGAGGGTTCATTTGAGTCGTTTCTTAGTGGATGGTCGAACACGTGTCGACCCGTGAAGATCCGGGATAGAATGAACCTTCAGTAACCCATGCTTTTCGGAAGAGGCGACTAACGGGATCGGGTGGTCGGGCTCGCTGACTTGGTTCCCACATGTCACCGCTGAGACCATCCGATGGTCAGCTATGAGCCCAGATGTCCATCCCATTGAGCATCTGTTGAACATTTTAGGCCGTCGTGTTCGACAGACAGACTCGCCTGTCCAGACTCTCAATCAACTGACTGCTGCTTTGCATGAAGAAAGGAACATGATTCATCAGAACCAAATCCAGATATTCATCCAAGGAATTAAGAGGCGCATTGAATCAGTTGTTAGTGTACAGGCAGGTTACACAAGATACAGATGGAATTGGACTTGCAAGCCATAATTCTTCCATGCCTCGAACAAGATACATGGTACTGAGGCGATCTGAACACAAGTAAGATATCGTTCGAGGCTTCCACAACGCTCGCTTCGCACTCGCAAACATAACCCATTTAGCACGGGGTTATAACTAAAACGGCACCACAGCAGAACGGCACAAAAATCGTTTGGCGAAAACGGCACCGTATTGGCGAAAACGGCTACTGATTTCTGAGCTAAAACGGCACAATATATAAAACACAGTATGATGTTGACTTTTATGTTTTAGTTCGTTTCATTATAACATTAGCAAGCTTATATCAACATATATAAAACACAGTATGATGTTGACTTTTATGTTTTATTTCATGTCATAACATTAGCAAGATTATAACACGTGATATAGCTGGAATATTGCTAAAAGCGGCGTAAAACCATAACTCACTCACTCACCCATTGCATTAAAATAACAAGATTATAAAGACGATAACGAAAGCACCGTCAACATAACACATAACACATGTTCACACGTCAAAGTCCATATTTGGCCGGATGCTTATATATCCCAAGAATGTCTTTTCATGAATTGCAGCAATTCACTAAACGATTGGTCCGTGGATAATCGCACATCTTGACAGTAGTTGTGACAGAGACAGGTCACCATCCTTGAACAAACTCCAAAGTTCAAATACCTCATCCTGCCTAGCTGTTGATGATCTACGGATGTACGCCTTCAGCCTTCCTTCTTGTATAAGCCTTGTCTGGATAGGAGGCTGGCCTCATGATGGAGCTCTGGCATGAGCCTGTAGAGCCCCAGTGACTGTTCTCCCACCTTGTTATTAATTCGCCTGTGCCAGCCTGAAAAGAAGAATACATATTTTTACGTAACATTATGAAAATTGAAACCTGACAATGCAAAAATAGTATAATATTCAGTAATAATTTATTTAAGTTATTAATCTTTATTTTATTAAGAAATGAATACCTTCAACACAGTTGTTCGTCCTGACTGCGATGTTGAAGACTGACCAGGTGCGGGGGGTGAATATAGAATGGGAGATCCACTGACTCTCAAAATAGTCCATCAGCTGTCGCAGCTTGCCATGAGTTGGAACCCGATCCGAAATCTTGTGGAATAACCTGGTGACATCAGCGGCCGGAAGAAATAGCAGAGACATCAACTTTCTCATGAACTTGTGAATGTCCTCCATGTAAGCTACCTGAAATAGTACATACACATATGAATTTATATGACATAATATAATAAATTAAATAAATGAATTAATTATATAATATCAAAATAACTCGCAATGATTGATTGATTCAAAGTATTGAACGTACCTGTAGGCCCAGCTCTTGACATTTTCGCCAAACTGCTTGAGTCAGGTGGAACAGGCATCCACGGACACGGTCGTCAGGCAAAGTCTTCTTCAGGGCCTTCCAGGCAGCCTGCTCGAAGTCAAGGATGACAGTCTTGACTTGCGGTTGTTTGGGGGAGAGCCTCTAGTAGCCGCTTGACTACCTTCACATAGTCCGATGTCCTTCGCCTGGGCATAATCACAAAGACGAGAGGCACAAGCTTAAAGTCCCTCCCGGCATGCACAAAAGCATGAATAGTAAGTAGTTGATGGAACGGCTTTTTTAATAATCTTAAAGGTACCGTCCATGAACCACTGCCTACTCGTACTTAAGTGCTGTAATTGCCGGTCAGTGGCAAACACTAGATGCCTCTCGCCTTTGTTTCCTACGTCACACCGAAAGAAATCATCCGGCAGGAAGTTTTATCTAACTGAAAGTAGAAAACAGAACCATTACAAATGTATTACACAATAGTGTTTATTTGAAATAT